CACCCCCCCCCGTCTTTGAATAGTGCGGGTGGAAGCTTCGAAACCGATGTATGATGTAATAACATGCAATGGTTACTAACAGAAAGATGGCTCAGCTTCGTTGCCATCAGAGATGTGTGGCGTTCAAAGTTTGCGCACTGGTCCACTAGGGAGGGGCACTCCAAGACAACATACCTCGGTGAAGAGAACGAGTTGTCGGTAATCAAACTGTGGGAATGGACCTTTCAGGGTCATGATTCGTTCATCTAGTCACTAGTTTCTCAGTTGACATTTCATGAGACACTGCCATTCCGGTGTACAGTCGCAGTGTCATTTACAATGCTCCATTGTTACTGACATTGGGTCACGGGAACAGCAGTATCAATTGCTGTGATCGCAAGAGCCTGAGGAGAGTGACTTATTATGGCTGAGTGGTTCCTTCTTAGTGAAAACATCGGAATCGTGCAAGTTTAGGAGGAGATTTGGTGTTCGTGACAGTAAATAAGTTCACAACGCACACCGATCTATCCAAGGTTAATTATTTCAGTATCTGGTCATTCTTGGACTGCACCGACCGCGTTTCATACAGGTGTTATGTTCCGGAGTGAATTAAATGTATACCTGGTATTGATTGTGGCAATGGTTAAATCCCGATGTGTCCGTCTGCTTGACAGTTACTGGGGACCTCTTAGACCCACAACCGATATCTGCGAACAAAACTGGCGAGCGGACACAACGCGAAGCCTCAGACATCATTCGGTATTGACTTTGCCTGCGGATTGGTGTTGAGTATGATGAGTATGAGAATAAAATGTCTTTATCTCGACAGCATTAAAATAAACACGTTTCAACATTACATTACGTTGAGACGCCACAGGTACGATTAATTCAGCGTCATTCGCGAACATCACCCTACAGGCGAACTTTAGCTAGACAGTCCAACTAGGAACTGACAGCACGCGTACCACTGCGGTCGGCTACATGTCGTATCCCACAGAGTTTCCAGCCACCTACATGCAGGAGTACATGAGCCGCGGTCTACGAAAATAGGTTAAAACAACAGTTTCATATGTTGGCAGCATCCGAAAGATGTTTATTTTGACTCTACCTTTTTTCAGGAATAGGTTATATCATCATTACGTACGACTAACCGAATCCAAGTTGATGTAGTTCCGTAAAGCATGTATATCCTCTACTCAGTGTCAATTGAGTGAAACCCGTTGCAGGTCGAGTTACTACCATACCAATACGGTTTTGGTGGTTTTCGGTGGTGCCCATTCTACCGAGACTTCGTTCTGGACACTTCTCAGTTGTAAAACCGTTGATACCGAAGGAAATCACCCTCTGGTGAGTGTTTTGCGTAGGAGGATAAATGCTTAGGACCTGAAGCTTTAGTTTCATTCAAACTCAGATGCACCTTTCACCTACTAGTTTTATCTGTGTATATTCGCGCGAACTGGCTTATCATCGTAACCCTTAAATTCCGGAAGTCAGGGATAACTGTTTTACTCATTGCTGCATTAGGAAACAGACTCTCAATTCTTCTAATGTATTTTCTAATCACAGCAGGACGTCGCAAATCATTGTCTTCTGAAAATGCCGACAGCATAGAACTATTCGTCTGTCTCAACCAGTCAGCCCCAACGGCAGGCAACGCTAGCAAGCCTATTGATTCACTTCTTCCGGTTCTTCATGCTATCCTCCATTCTGTTGCACCTTTTTGAACTCTGCACTGTGGTGCATTTGTGGGCGGAGCAGTCATAGTGCATTATGTGAAGGCAACTAGAATAAATTCGCTGCTTGCGTGGCGAAAAGAATAAAGCAGTGCCGGTAGTGTCCACTGTCTTGCCGCCTGTGGCTTACCAGCCGTGCTGAGGCGCCTAGTAGTCCAACCACTGTTGAACAGTATATGAAGTTGGATTTTCGTGAAGTTCACCGACCTGAACATGTAGCTTATCTCTTGCACAAAGACTTGCTTGCTTCGAATCGTGTCCTGCGCTCTTCCTGCGCTGATATACTAACTAGCGAATAACTGTACTAGGGTGTCGGGTAAAAGTGGTCTTACCGTGAAGTGCAAGTAATCAGGTGGCTACCGATCTGTTCACCAAGGTTAGCAGGTGGTTTACAAACGTCACTATGCTAGGAGACATCAACAACGTACTGACTCACTGGGGCTACCAAAAACTAGATAAATATCACTGATATTGAAGTCTCTTGATCCAAACTTTGAGTTTGGAGGCTTTCAACTCGGTCATAGCCACAAACAGCTGAATTGCATCAAGCTCTAGAGTAGATGATTCCGAGACGAGCGCGAAGTGCCTCCATCGCATTTTTTGCTATGCGAGGGGCAGACTGTCTCTCGAGCTGTTTCCAAAATAGAACAACTTGGTCACTCAGGCAAAGCACATTGTGCATATACCATCCTATACTCGAAACTACGGCTCTGGCTGCACAGTTAGTGACATAACGGTTACCCATGCAGAGAATATTAGTGTGGACGTTTTTAACTCGTTTAGTGCCATCGAGTTTGGAAAGATTCCATGATCCGATTGTTGGTAGCAAGAAGCAACCGACCCGTGTGACATGTACAGAAGGGCATCATTGTGATCAGGATCCTTGATTAAACTATGCATCGCGTGCACATTTAATGATTGAAAACCTGAAATAAAACGCGTTTGGCTTACATTTTGGCCTAAATGTTACCTTAAACACTATAGCCTTTTTCAAGCCTGTGGAGGAAGAAAGTTTCGGCACGAATCTTATACTTCTTGCTTTGAATCAGAGGTTTCAGTATGTTTCAAAGTTCTCTCCCACGAGCCTATTCCAACGATAGGGCGAATTGCGTACAGGCCAGCGGGGAATTACGTCATTCCATACGAGTGGGGAGCAAGGAGCAGTTCGGCGTTTTCATCACGATTTAGCGGGCAAAAGAGCGCATTAAAATCGCTCTGTGCTTTCTATCTGTTCTGTTTGCAAAGTGCTCGTCTTTTTAGAGAGAAACAAAGGCAACTCTCATTTAATTTGTTCAAAGAGATTGATGACAATAATTCCAATTTATTATTCTGTAAGTGGTCGGTCCTAAAGTTGTATGATCACCGCATTTGAAGTGGCACTGCTGTGCTTGGTGTACGTAATACTTAAAATAACAAAACTAAACACAATGGATACAAGCGAAGCAACGAGACTGGACCCTAAATATTATATATATATATATATATATATATATATATATATATATGGAAA